CCGAAGTATAACTTGGAATTGCAGAAGATATCCATAGGATGTACGTGTGAACAACTGACGATGAAAAGAGCATATTTTCGAATAACGGGTTATGTATTCACCGTAATTTACAATCACCTGTTATAAAATGTGAGTATTGAAGTGTTAACAAAACGGTTATCTTAATCAAAATCGAAAACACTTAAGAGTAATCATCCTCTGCTTATGCATCTTGATGTGAAGACATGACGTTATTTAGATTTTACCTACATTTACATGGTGGGTGTCATAGATGAAGCAGAACACGCTTACCCTTCCGGAACACCTGGTATTACATTTTCAAAGGTCTTCATGTAATTTTTCCTTTGTTCGTCAATTAAGCTACTTTGATATGTGACATGACTAAAAGCACCAACATAACAGTTAGATATCATCTGAAAGTAGGCAAACCAAAAAAGAAGGTCAATAACTGAAGCAACAGTAACCAAAAACTACCTGCTAGTCTTATGTATGTTTCTCAGGTAGATCCTCTCTCTTGAACAGTTAGTTTGTTTCGTTTATAGTCGATTACCCGATAATATAATTGCATGGTTTAAAAATTGGCAAGATGTGATTTTTTTAATTAGAAATAAAATCAGACCTACAATTGACAGGGAAAATTTAAAAGACACTTTACAACCTCTAAAGACTGATTGAAATTTTATCAAATTGAATTCCTGGAACATTTAGGAAGTTTGAGGAGGAACATTTACAATTATTGTTTACTTTGATTTTTAAACTTGCTAATTTGTTTTAGCTCCTAATTATCATATTGTGTGTTTATTATTTGGTGTTGGTTTTTTTTTCTTTTTTCTTTTTGTAGATATATTTTCATGTTATTATAACGGTATCAGCATGATGTTTTGCAGATCCTCTTTAACGGTCGGGTAAAAATGCCTTGTATAGTAGTTTCATCGGCATGCATTTTCGCCTCGCATGTTTTACATAAAGCGGCAACACATGTATACAAATAGTGAACATAAAAGGTTCAATACCTATCGTTCGAGTACCCCACTTGTAATATAGAGGAGGAGATGTCAAATCATTTTGCTATCTTTACTGATATCTATAGGATGTTTTCCCCTTGAATCTTTAGTGTATATAGATACTCAAAGATTTCACTTGTGATCCATTTGGTCGAAATGCGTTTTGCAAATTAATAAAGAGTGAACAAATTATTCATGTTATCTGCTGTCAAACCAGTTATCAAGAATATTTATTATACAATTTAAAAAAAATGGGACCTAATTCAAGAATGAGATTAGTGTAAGATGTAATCTTTTCATATCTTTTACAGAATTGCTGACATAACAAATCAGTTAAGTGTGTAAATATTATTTTATTTCATATTTTAGAAGCCTGGCTCCTATTCTATCTGCTCAAGCAGACTTGGGTTCATCTTGTCTTGCTTTAGGAACCTTAACGTCTCTCAAAATCAATGTAATTTAAAAAGGTGATTTTATTCATTGCATGCTCCAGAAGGTGATCTTTTTCTTACGAACATTGGAGATATGCGGAATAAATCTATTTTTGGAATCCTACATATTGATACTCGAATTGACGATAAGAGAAATGGGAAAAACACAGAAACGGTCGTAGGAAACAAAATAATTTGAACACGACAAGAAAAAATAAAACACAGTTTTATCTTCTATGACATCAGTAAAAGAGGTGTTAGAAGCATTCGCATGTGTAATTCGTAAACATCATAACAGAACAACCATGTTACCGTACAATACCGTCAAACAGTTATTAGTTCATATTAAAGACACTGATAAAGGAAGATAAGTCAGAGATGGTTACTTAAAAATAAACTTATCAATCTAATTTTATTAATGAGGAACCGACGAGTTTTTATTTTTTTATTTTTAGTGTTTTCTCAATGACATAATATTCAAGGGAAGATAAGTTACTGACTTTGCATATTACTTCCTAGTCCAGATTTGACATCAGACGTAGTATATATGTAAGTGTTATGTGTATATATATATGTATGTGTCACCAGCAATGACTACATCCGGGTCTCTCAGAACATTGTTCAATCCCATTCATGGTGAGGTCACGGATTTATTTGCAAAGTTTTATATACTTACACTCACACCTTTATGCTGTTTTGTCGAGTGTAAATTCCCAGTCTAATAAGTATACAGTCTTGTTTTTATTGTGTATGCAACTATGTATAGATAGACGGGTTGTAAGTTAATACAGCAAATGCTGGCCAAATAAGCGATAAAGATAATGACAAGTATCAAGAAAGGCATCGTCTTAACTTATTATAAAATATTTTTAAAACCTTCTTTGATGAGGGAGGATGATCTGTTTCAGATAAAATATTTCCATTTTATAGTCATGGATGTAACCACTAAAATGTTTCACCAAACGTATAGCTCCATAGTAGCGCAATGATCGAACGATAAAGCAATACTTTATCAAATTAACAATTGTGTTTTTCATAGCTTGTTTAAAATATGGTTCTTTTGTTTAAATTGATTAATAAAATATACATACACTTTATGTACTAAGCAAAAACTGGTAGACTTATCTAAATAACAATTGGATAATTCATGTTTACATTTGATATTAGTGATGAATATCATATTCATTTAAACGGTTAAAATTAGTCACATGTATGTCAACGTGTTTCAATCATCACGTGCATGTCAACGTGTTCTAAGTTTTGAGTTTTAGTTTTAAGTATCAGTAAGTAACATGTCACAGTTAAATTTACTATTCCAAATCCTATTTTAAGTATCAGTAGGTAACATGTCACAGTTAATTTGCTATTCCAAATCCTATTTTAAGTATCAGTAGGTAACATGTCACAGTTAATTTGCTATTCCAAATCCTATTTTAAGTATCAGTAGGTAACATGTCACAGTTAATTTGCTATTCCAAATCCTATTTTAAGTATCAGTAGGTAACATGTCACAGTTAATTTGCTATTCCAAATCCTATTTTAAGTATCAGTAGGTAACATGTCACAGTTAATTTGCTATTCCAAATCCTATTTTAAGTATCAGTAGGTAACATGTCACAGTTAATTTGCTATTCCAAATCCTATTTTAAGTATCAGTAGGTAACATGTCACAGTTAATTTGCTATTCCAAATCCTATTTTAAGTATCAGTAGGTAACATGTCACAGTTAATTTGCTATTCCAAATCCTATTTTAAGTATCAGTAGGTAACATGTCACAGTTAATTTGCTATTCCAAATCCTATTTTAAGTATCAGTAGGTAACATGTCACAGTTAATTTGCTATTCCAAATCCTATTTTAAGTATCAGTAGGTAACATGTCACAGTTAATTTGCTATTCCAAATCCTATTTTAAGTATCAGTAGGTAACATGTCACAGTTAATTTGCTATTCCAAATCCTATTTTAAGTATCAGTAGGTAACATGTCACAGTTAATTTGCTATTCCAAATCCTATTTTAAGTATCAGTAGGTAACATGTCACAGTTAATTTGCTATTCCAAATCCTATTTTAAGTATCAGTAGGTAACATGTCACAGTTAATTTGCTATTCCAAATCCTATTTTAAGTATCAGTAGGTAACATGTCACAGTTAATTTGCTATTCCAAATCCTATTTTAAGTATCAGTAGGTAACATGTCACAGTTAATTTGCTATTCCAAATCCTATTTTAAGTATCAGTAGGTAACATGTCACAGTTAATTTGCTATTCCAAATCCTATTTTAAGTATCAGTAGGTAACATGTCACAGTTAATTTGCTATTCCAAATCCTATTTTAAGTATCAGTAGGTAACATGTCACAGTTAATTTGCTATTCCAAATCCTATTTTAAGTATCAGTAGGTAACATGTCACAGTTAATTTGCTATTCCAAATCCTGTTTAAGTATCAGTAGGTAACATGTCACAGTTAATTTGCTATTCCAAATCCTGTTTAAATATCAGTAGGTAACATGTCACAGTTAATTTGCTATTCCAAATCCTGTTTTAAGGATCAGTAGGTAACATGTCACAGTTAATTTGCTATTCCAAATCCTGTTTTAAGTATCAGTAGGTAACATGTCACAGTTGGTTTGCTATTCCAAATCCTGTTTTAAGTATCAGTAGGTAACATGTCACAGTTAATTTGCTATTCCAAATCCTGTTTTAAGGATCAGTAGGTAACATGTCACAGTTAATTTACTATCCCAAATCCTATTTTAAGTATCATTAGGCAACATGCCACAATTGATTCGCTATACCAGAGCCCGTTCCAAGTATCTGGATTTCCTGAACAGATCTGCCTAATTGACCAATCAGCTCTGTATAATTCTCCGGGGATTTACACCGGACAGAATACGTAGTGGAATTTAAAGGCCGTCTACGATTTCCAGCTAAATAGTAGATATCTATGAGTCTCCCATGATCAAAACTGTTTTGTTTTTTTATGCATTAGTTCGTTTGTGATCTTCGAACTTTCTTTGATTGACGGATGCCACGTGTGCCGCCGGAAACGCTTTCGCTTCTGGAATATCTGGTTTCGCCACCGAAATTATTTGAAGTATCGTCTATTATGTCAATGTGTATGTAGAGTATAGTAAATGTTTTTTTATCATTTTACTTCATTATCATTAATGCACGTCCTATGTATTGGTCAATAGAACAGTGTTGGTACAAATGTTACTATATCAATACTGATTAAAAGACCAGTGTTGGTCTTGGTTTCTGTAATTTTACTCTGTGTTGACTGATTTCAGTGATTGTAAATAGAATATATCTATTTGTCAACCATTGAAATTATAAGTCAAAATGTCGAAATCCGGTCAATATGATAAATATTATAATCAAAATTTGATATATGTCAAAATGTCAAACTACGGTCAATATGATAAATATCATAATCAACCTTTGTTATATGTTAAAATGTCAAAACTACTATCAATATGATAAATATGTTAATCAAGTGTCGATGAAATTCGGTAATGCAGTTAGCCAATTTCTCACGTTAAGAAAATAAGAGAACTACTAGTTTTTGTTTCCTGCCTTTTATTTTTTATTTCCGAGAAATGTATTTCCATCATAGTCACAAACAAGACTGTGCTTGAAGTCTTGCATTTATAACAATAAGACAGATTAATAAGATTAACATATTATTCACACGTCCTCAGTTGTTAAAAACGGACTTATTAAACAACGGCATTTTTTTTAAACAATAAACAATAGACAAATCAATTGATGCGATTTGTAATGAACAAAACAACTAATTATAGCGGCAATTGTCTTAAAACGTAAATGATATTTATAAATAGCATAAAAAGTATACAAAAATAGCAGACACATAGCCAGTTACATTGTTAAGCATGTACACCATATAGCTAATAATATACGTGATAAATACAACGTTAATTGCCAAACCCCATGATTATACATTACAACATATAGCTAACAATATACGGGATAAATACAACGTTAATTGCCCAATCCCATGATTATACATTACAACATACAGCTAACAAAATACGCTTAGGGAAACACGATTCGTTGTTTCCGGAGATTAAACAAAATAATTCCAAGGGAAACAAAATATCGTGTTTCCCTACCACATTATATTTTTATTATATTTGTTTTATTTTCAGAATTTTTTTTTATACAATGCAAAGTACATTTGTAATAGCTGAAAATCTGACACACACTAATCTCGCTTCCACTTTCACACACACAATTATTGATTGTCATTTTAAAACATTTTTCCAATGTTTACATTTACATTGCATTTGTATAAGGAAAGCAGGAAAGGAAAGGTTAATAAAAAGAAAAACAGACAGAGGATGGAAAAAAGACAAGGACAAAACATAGACAGACAGAGAGAGATGTCAGGCAATCAGTAGTAAATATCTATATGTATGACTAGCATATGAAAACAGGAGGGAGTAAAGAGCATGTGTTGTCAGCTGCAAATGTCAATATATGAATAGTATTAGCTAAACAAAATATTTAGATGTCTTATGGATAGGAAAAATGGATACAAAACAACTCATATATAAGTGTCCAATAATATTACATATTCTAACTGTAAACAGTATTCTTAAAATAAAGTTCAGCAAATTGAAGATTAAAGAGATATTAATTAACTTTTGCCATTTTTTCCAATTATTTTTGAAAGTGTTATTATATTTGTCATCTTTACCTGTTGCAATATATTTTTGTGTAGTATATGATCAATTATGTTTTATCATACCAAAACAAAACAATAATACAACAGTAAATATGATGAAGTTAACGCGACTTTGTAATCGTCTGCTTCAGTTTATCGGACCCAGATGGAGGGTCTCATTTTTCTAGAGAGGCAATGAGTGAGAGAAACATGGCCGGTGGAAGTCGAGCGCGTGAGGATGAAACAGCGTTTTATTTTCCTTTCATGTTATCAATATATTCCAATCAGTCACGCACTTGCACAGATGAGGGATAACAATATGAGTGGATCAATAAAATATCTTAAGCCCATCCCCGTTTTATATTTGTACAAACAACATCAGTTAAAAATAAACACAAATGAAATGAAATCAACACTTAGCAGACGAATCATACATTCCACATTTTGTTCATTATCACTTTGTGTATCAATCAAGTAAACATTAATGAACATCCCTCTTTCACTCTCATATATATTTATAGATTTATGCGACGTCTTTTAAAATTTGATTTAAGGAGTCACTTGTTCTCTTAGTAAATACTACCTGGTCGTGTCCTGACTATAGTCGGCATACATGGACGGCTAAATACCTAAATACCTTAATACAGCACAATACAGCACAATACAGCAGCTCTCATGTTGACACCGAGCTATGATTATATGTGGATGTGAAGAACAGAATAAACATAATTTTTTCTCGGCCTGAACTGTCAATATCCTTATAACGAACATCGTGCCCTTCCGGGTATGAATCCACTTCACTTGTTTAGATAAGACCATCATGGGTTGTGCTTGTTTAGATAAGCACTTATGTCAAACTTTCACAAGCCTTCTTTCAGTGCAATAGCTGTGAAATTTCAGTTGCGGCTTGATTCTTGCTCATCTTTGACACTAGGCTCACCAGTCTGTTTTGAGATTCAATGCTTAGGAAACGTGTATTATTCCTAAACTTCTTAATGACGTCATTATCTGATAACGGCTTTCTCCAATGTCCGTACGGCTCTGTGCATGTGCTTTCAAAAGTGGCGTTGTCATTCGTTGTCACACCAACAGTCACGTACATGTCGTCAAACGACGGCGCGTTGTTATCAGGAGTGATAACTCTGACCAATTGCAGAAGATTAAGCAGCGGTTGCCTCCCGATGTTGTTGACGTGAAAAGTTTCCGGTGTCACCTCGCCGTCCAACAACGCAGAGCAAGTCGTGAACTGGAAGGAATGACGGGCTTCGTGTTCGGTCGTTGGAATAGGTCTGTTGATATATTTTGAACCTGGAGCGATTATATAAATATCTTTTATATAATCGACGGAAAGACCACCCCGGTCACGAACAAGCTGTTCTCTCGTTCCCATTGCCGCGTCAATAGCCCAATGCATCCCAAGATGGCATGGGAACCTCTTTAATGCAATGTCTTGGTGGTGTAGAATGACGTCATCAGTTTCTGTGAGGATGTCCAAAAGTCTCTTCGGATTGTAGTCCTCGTAGAACGCCCCGAAGCCTGAAGGCATGTCTAAGATGTTATCATTTCCCTTGATACCTTTATCGGCCAAAATGGCAGCCTCCAGACCAAACCTAGCTGACTTCCCGGCATGCAATGGTTTAGTTGTGGTACCGGCGTTTGCCATTGGTGCTCCGGCGAATGACGCAGCTATGGCCAGAGCGTGTCGACATTTCTGGGGGTCATGACCCAACAATCTAGAGCAGGCGGCCGCACTCCCCATCACGCCGACAATAGCTGGTGGGTGGAGACTGTAACACAAGTCATTAATAAAGATATAAATATCCTAGTATATCCTCATATGTGCGTTTGCATGAACTATATTTACTTACTTTTTGTAACAAGCGACCAATGGGCCTTGATAGATCACCTTTTTTATTTTCAATTAAAAAAACCGCTGAGTATCATACCAGTTTATCAAAGGAGTGAAATAAAATATAAGCTGTGAGAAGGACTAAAGCCTTTTGAGTGAGCTATTTCATATTTGGTAAAAGGGTGGGGATCTCCACTTTATCCAAAGTACGACATAACCTCTCCCATTGACCGCTCTTCTCTGCCCCAGGGGACACCACCCTCCGTTTATACAAAATTAGTTCCCCTTTGCTAAACTGTTTTAAATCCCTCCATTGGTACAAAAAGTTTTTGAATGTTTTCCTCTGTAGTCATTTTGACCAATTGAGCAAAACATTAGGAATCCCAAAGAAATCTTTACTCTCTCAATTTTTAAATGTTTAAATGTTATAGAAGTTTTACTTAGCTAATTTTACTCAGGGACCGTTTGAATGACTATCCTAGTGAGTTTTAAGTGTTGGTTTCCTGTCTGTCTGTGTCTGTATGTGTATTGGACTGCTAATATACACATACTTGCATTAGCCTGTTGATTTTGTGTGTTGAATATCAAAACGTAAAAGTTCTTACCGGTGAGGGATGTTCCTCGCCTGGGTTGAACAGTTCAGCAGGGCTCCTTGGACCTGGATCCCAATGTTAAAGGCCACCAATACCTCCTCTAAAGAAGGCTGCTGTGAACGTGGCAACACATCCGACAGAGCCATTAAGGCGGGAAGCACGGGGCCACTGGGATGAGTAGCAGGGTGCCACGTGTCATCAAAATCCATTGCATGGCAACTAGCACCATTAAGATAGGCCGCCATCGCCATGGACGCCTTCAGACCACCAGTTCCCCAAATGGAGGCTTTGTGGTTGGAATGGAAACCTTCTACTGTTGATCCAAATTGGCGGTAACTGTCGGCAATTTCCGTCTTTGATCCAATCATTCCGACGCCGATAATGTCCAGAATCATACGCTTGCTCCTGCGCTGTGCCACGGTTGAAATATTCGCTATACTGAAGTCGGAGATATGGTCGGCTAGCCAGGTCGTCAGGTTCATGGCTGGCAAGCTTGCCTCTGGTAAAGGAAACAATGGCTGGTTAGCAAACAACGCGAATTAGATTTTGAAACAATGCCTGACAAGAAAAAACACGTAAAAGACATAGCAAGCATTGGCTGGATAGGGACAACACAAATTAAACTTGACATAAAAAGAATGGTTGGCCATGGTTGTTCATATGGGTTTTGACGTCCTTGCACAAACTTAAGTCGTAGGGAGACGGTCATCACGGGTGATAAGCCCGTAGCACCTCTTTAAAGTAACATCCCGCTGAACACGGAAGATTGACGTACTTCACCCGGTCACATGATGCTGACAAAGGGGTTAACCTGTTCATACAGCCACCCATTCAAAGTTTACCGTAATAAAAAAAATCCGCCACCCATTCAAAGTGTAACGCTAATAAAAAAAATATTAGCAAGTATTGATTTTCAGGACTGAACCGATCATTTTCGTCACTTGGTCGACCACTCAGCAACAAGGCCAAGAGCGAGAGATTACCAGGCGCTGCGTTAGAAAACGAAAAGATATTTAGATATGAGAATTATATATGTATCCCATATACATTGCAATGTATGAAGATGATTCATTAAGATAACATTTTTGTCCCAATGCAGAGAGCACAAAAGCAAATACACAATCCTACTTTGGAAAACCAAATTAGTCCCCCTCTTTTACAAATCATGCAGTCTGAAACATTAGGCATAAACTTTTCCTAATCCCAGCAATCTTAATAATTAACTAGCAAGGGTTTGGCTGGTCAATAATAACACAAACTAGACAAAGAAACAATGTCTGTACAGAAACTACTCAAAATGACATAAAACCAATGGATGGCTAGTTACAACATAACCTCGACATCGAAACAATGTACAAAATAGAAGTGGAAACAACAGCTGTTCAGGACTAACACAACTTGACATATAAACATTTGCTATCCACGGATAACACAAACTCGACAAAGAAATAATAGATAACAAATTCGACATAGAAACAGTGACAGATTATCAAAAAGAACAAAAACTAAATACAAACAATTAATTGCAGGGTTAGGTTTTTATGGTGAAGTTCGTGTTTACGTACCTCTTGTTTGGACAACCTGGCGGGAATATCGACGTCCAGCATCGGGGAATGGACCTGATAACTCGGACTGCTTACGTAAGAGTTTACCACTTACTACCTTGACCGAACGGGTGAATGTGGTCATGTTTTGCTGAAAATAAAAAAATTGAGTATTTGTCAATTAATCAATATGTCAATTCAACGATATACTTTGTGTCAAAGCTGAAACATGTTTTCTCGTGTTATATATCTATATGAGAAAGAAAAAACCGTCTGAATTCATTCATCCCTGAAGACACGCTTTTCCAATTCAAAGGTTGGAATAGTTCATTATGAAATTTCAGGGGTAAATGAGTTAATTGACTAACTACTTGTTACAATGCATGTAATTGTATGTTAAATTGTGTTAATACTGATAAATACAAATCAATAAAGAGTATGAATGTTTATAAAGACTTTTTCGTGTATGACAAGTTATAATAAATTTACTTCAGCTGACTGTTTTAAACTTGTATTTTATCAATTCAATTAAAAATATACCATAGCGACAGCAACCATTACAAAATATACCGTAGCGTCAGCAACCATTACAAAATATACCATAGTGTCAACACACACCAAAATATACCATAGCGTCAACACACATTACAAAATATACCATAGCGTCAACACACATACCAAAATATACCGTAGCGTCAACACACATACCAAAATATACCATAGCGTCAACACACATTACAAAATATACCATAGCGTCAGCACACATAACAAAATATACCATAGCGTCAACACACATTACAAGCTATACCATAGCGTCAACACATATTACAAAATATACCATAGCGTCATCAACACACATTACAAAATATACCCCACCGTCATCAACACATATGTGTGTCAAAATGTACCATAGCGTCAACACACATTACAAAATATACCCTAGCGTCAGCATAGACGACAAATAAACCCCAGCGTCATCAACACAGATGTCAAAATGTACCGTAGCGTCAACTCTCAGAACGAAATAATTTTAACATAGCGGCAGCATACAGAACGACGTCGGAAAGCGATATGAAAAACAATAACAGATACCAATGAGCTGTTAAATAAAGAAAAGAAAAACAGTACAAACACTGACGCGGCCATTTGACAATAACTTACAAGAACACTATTATATTCCATTAATGGTAAGATATGTTTACTGTACCGACCTGTATCACCGTAGTACGTACAGACAGCATAGTGTCACGTGTATAGATCGATGTTAACAAGAGCGAAAGTTGATCGGAAAATTTGTCTCTTCTTCTTATATAGAATCCGTCACGTGATCTAGTGGAAATCCGAACAATAGCATCTTCCTACACATTTCTTCAACGCATGTTTCTATAAAAATACTTTCACAATATTGAACAAAATCGAAAGTAAATTTAAGCAATATATATACTTGCCGCTATTACCTTTTTAGAAGGTTTCTCGAAAACAAACAAACTTTTATGTATATACTTCTTCAATCACCAGATATATTATATAAACTTAAATGTATGTAATAAATATACGTATATAAATAAATGTGATGACTGATGAAATCCGGTTTCGCAGAAGTAGGCGGAGCCTAGCTGTTGATCGATTCGACTAAGTGGTGTCGATACTCAGACTGGGAAACCCGGAAGATCAAGCCCGGCCTCTAACCTGACATTAGTCACCACCTGACTACAGAGCCAGGTCTATTGCACGTTTGCTTCCTGTTGCTCGTTAATGGTGAAAATTGAATTATAAAACAATGTTCATATCAATGAACAAGTGCACTTTATAGTAAAACAAAACAATACTTTTAATGTAGAGAAAATGAGAAAACTTCTTGATTGCTGCACACGAAGTATGCGGAAATCAATACACACGTACATTAGGCAAAAGCAAATTGTCTCTGCAAGATGATGTGAACTTTCGTGATAAAACCACAAAATTTTGTCTACGTCATCTTCATCATTTTAGCTTGAATACTTTGATATGAGTCAGGTCACCAAGGCATCATTTGGATTTTATAAATGATCGACATGTAAGCACACAACCTGTACAAATACATGTTTGCTTCCAACCATATACCTAAAGGGATGCCTAATCATAGTAGTTTGGGACATGGAATGTCATATACACCAACATTCCAAATACTACCTGATAATTAATTGCACCGATGTTGCAGGCTTTGTAAACTAGTTATTTAGAGTTTAATTTATTATAGCTAAGGCTGCTGTCCGTATCTACCTTACAATCGAGTGTTCCGTGTGTATAAATGTGTACCAATGATTGCGTGTGTGTATATATGTGTACCAATGATTACCTTTGTGTATATATGTGTACCAATGATTGCGTGTATGTATATATGTGTATCAATGATTACGTGTGTGTATGTATGTGTACCAATGATTACGTGTGTGTATATATGTGTACCAATGATTACGTGTGTGTATGTATGTGTACCAATGATTACGTGTGTGTATGTATGTGTACCAATGATTGCGTGTGTATATATGTGTACCAATGGTTCCATGTGTGTATATATGTGTACCAATGGTTCCGTGTGTGTATATATGTGTATCAATGATTACGTGTGTGTATATATGTGTACCAATGATTGCGTGTGTGTATGTATGTGTACCAATGATTGCGTGTGTGTATATATGTGTACCAATGATTGTGTGTGTGTATATATGTGTACCAATGATTACGTGTCTGTATGTATGTGTACCAATGATTACGTGTGTGTATGTATGTGTACCAATGATTACGTGTGTGTATGGATGTGTACCAATGATTGCGTGTGTATATATGTGTACCAATGATTGCGTGACGGTGTGTGTATATATGTGTCCCAATGGTTCCGTGTGTGTATATATGTGTACCAATGATTACGTGTGTGTATATATGTGTATCAATGATTGCGTGACGGTGTGTGTATATATGTGTACCAATGGTTCCGTGTGTGTATATATGTGTACCAATGATTGCGTGTGTGTATATATGTGTACCAATGATTGCGTGTGTGTATATATATGTACCAATGATTACGTGTGTGTATATATGTGTACCAATGATTGCGTGTGTGTATATATGTGTNGTGTGTGTATATATGTGTACCAATGATTGTGTGTGTGTATATATGTGTACCAATGATTGCGTGTGTATATATATGTGTACCAATGATTGCGTCTGTGTATATATGTGTACCAATGATTGTGTGTGCGTATATATGTGTACCAATGATTGTGTGTGTGTATATATGTGTACCAATGATTGCGTGTGTATATATGTGTACCAATGGTTACGTGTGTGTATATATGTGTATCAATGATTGCGTGTGTGTATGTATGTGTACCAATAATTGCGTGTGTGTATATATGTGTACCAATGATTGCGTGTGTGTAT